CTATTGCATAACCGTCAAGCCTAACTAACCTTTTTATATCTTGGAAAGAGCCAATCAGGGGACTTGGCGGAAACCATAATCTAGCCAACGTTTTCTGAGCTTCAAATAGTTCGACATTCATTCCTGCACGTTCAACAGTCCAATTTTTTTTATAAGTTGCACCGTATTCCTGGCACTTGCCCTCATCGAGGGGAATTATGTCATTGCATTTCCTATAAATCAGCCAATGTTTTAGGGTCTAGTGTAAGTGAGCTCGATTACATTATTGTGATCGTTTTGCCYTTTAGTCATAGGTTAATCTTCGTGCTTATAGTTAACAACTGAATAATCTTCTTCATTCTACTCGACCTCGTCAGTTTTTATATCCTGGAGGCCTTCCCAAAGTCCTTAAATTAAGCATTCCTTTGTTAACCCGCTTCAAGTAAAGAGCTTTAGTTTGATTTCCCAYAAATGTAATTCCTCTCTATCTGTCGCTCTCTGCATTCGCAGGATCTCGWCATGTACTTGTATGAAGCATGGCATCATTTTATTGGAGTTTAGATTATTCAAATACGCCCTCGAAGTGGTTAGTGCWTTTGTTTATATTAAAAGCAACATTTGCTGTCTCRATTGTATGAGAGTGTGTCYTTCAACGACCCAAACMAAAACATTCTGGTATCAATCCAGAGTACAGAAACTGTATGTCAAAGGTCGTCCTGGAACCATTGCGTGTGTTTGCAATAATGTGCAACACATGTACTAAGTACATTTTTATTTCTGYGACTTTTTTTTCATYGAAAACCATACATGTTTGCGGTCAATGTGACATAGAAGCTACCAGACGAAATCGCCGCTTGATCGTTAAAAAAAATTGATGTTATCTTTGGACATCTATATTTAAGTCAAAGTCAAAGTMCATGTGAATACCAAATAATATAATAAAAAAAACGCAGCATGAACTCAGCCATTGCCTGCTTGTKTGTTTAAATTGTCAAATCTGATTGGCTAGATTAAGTCAATTGCCCTCTTCCTATTGGTTTAGATTTCTACTATGGAATATGTAAATAAGATTGCTATATCATTGAAGTTTGCTGGTAGCATTATCAAATGGGACTATCCTTACTAGAGTGAGAGTTTAATATCCAAGATACTTTGAAGAAACAGYTATAGTTTGCCGTAAGTTTTATTTATAAAGACACGCTGGGTTCTTTATTATATGTGTGCATATTGATCTCATATATATACACCTAATTACACAAACGTTGTCCAAGAAAAAAGAACTTTTACTATTTAGCAATTAATTAAAATACAAAAGAAAGTGGTCATGTTTCAGTGGTCATGTTTTGCCTTTTAATTTATTCCTAATTTCCTAAATCYCTAATTCTCAGGACAAYGTTTTCGTAATTAGGTGTATACAAATTCTGCACAAATGCTGTAAAAGTAATATGTACTTATCCAAATTGTCCATATTTAGTTTCTGAAATTCGGTTGATAAAGTATAAACACGTTTCAATTTTCAATACAGTGCCTAGTTTCAATCTAATATTTATTTATTTCAGTTGGGTGCAATCTGAAATTTAATTTCTCTCATAGTTTATGAGTCTAGTAGTCGTAATTATTATGTCTATTCCCCTTGAATTTCACGTGAGTTACGATACAGAGACAATAATATATGGCCATAAACTTCATGTTCAAGTGTGTGAATGATATGTAGCCATATATAAACTTCATGTTTCAAGTGTATAACGTGATAGTTAAACTGAACTTCCTTATTTAACTTTCATAGAAATAATTTACATGTAGCTTCCTTGTCATCGACTGATCATTGAGAGTTACAGAATGATTACGGAAAACTCAAACCGAAGAGTTGAGTGATATCAATTCCCGTGGGCCGCAGTGAACCGATACAGAGCTATATTTAGTGCCTAGGAAAGACTCGTTAAACAACTAGCTTGTTACATTCTATGGACTCTTATTTTCTCATATACTATATTGCTCTCTCTCAATACTTCAAATGCCAAATRCTTTTTACGGTGTTAAGTTTATCTTTTTACACAACTGTTTTTAGAAACACTGACTCAGCTCACTCTAGTTTCCACCACTTCAAATGCCAAAACTTTTTTGGCGCACAATGATTTTACTTAGAATTAAAAGTAAAAAGTAGTTTCGAGGATTTTTTTAAATTTCTTTTCCAGGCTATTTCTTAAAATCACAAATGCTAAAGATACACTGTATCACGTGAAATATCACCAAGAGTCGAGGGGAAGAAGAAATATTCAGACATTTTTTTTTCCTTAAAATACATTACAAGACTACACTAAAATCTAGCGACGTTTAATTTGCTCCATTTTTTKAACAAGATTGAAGTACGCTGCTACAGATTCTGAGAGTGTTTTCGCGAAAGCCGACCCCTTTTTTCTAGCCATTTTTACAAGCTATTTCTGTAATCAATTTCTAGTCCAATATTTGACAAAATTGGTATATTCTTTACGAAGAAATGTTGTCAAGATCTCCTAAGAGTTGGTACTAAAAATTCAAAGGAAACACTTGTCGGTATTTGGTAACGTGTTAGGAGCAAAATTAGCATTCATTTTTGAGCCTTTTTTTAGCGATCGCGTAAATAGGCGAGATTTTTTTGTTCTTAAAAGACAGAAAAATAATAACATATATAGGCAATCTGCAGCGACGACATTTTGTATAACAAAGAATGATGGGGGTTATGGTCCTYTCGACTTCCATAGAATCTTCCTTAAACGCCCTTTTATGTTTTCCTAGTAGAAAAGGCACAACTGCTTCTATTTTCGCACAGAAGAAAAATAGGGGCGGCTTAGGACGAGGACTATAATTCCCATCATGCTTTGTTGGAAAAATTGGTGTCACTACATTCATCAACTCCTCCTTGCTTGATGCCAGATCCCTGCCTGGAATTTAATTACTCTTGTCTTGTGACTGCATATCAAAAGTAAATATATATAAATAACAAAGGCAACTGACTCAAGTATACATTACTATCTAACCACACCTTCTTTCCATTCTTTGATGAAAGTTTTGAATTTCTAAGAAAGAACAGGGACAAGTTTTCGATGATTTTGAAATCAAGACCTGTTCTGGTTTCTTGAGTTTATGCACCGTCAATTCTTCTACCTAAAAAATTTAAGTTGTAAATTTCAGATAACCAATTGTTTTAAAATTTAAACGTAAGATATATTTGAATGTACCGAAATTTTTCAAATGAAACAGTAGAATAATACTACATAAACAACTTAAACCCAAGTGATCGGCYCTCGATGGRCTCGTGGTTATTAACKTACATGTAATATATTACTTAGCAACAGAGTCTAAGGACYAAAATTGCTTCTCACCAACATGAAAATATCATGTCAAGTGTCATTATCAAAATCCATTGCAATCAGGAATTGGCTTAAAGTGGTAGAGAGATAACAGTTCCAAAGAAATGATTTTAATGAGATTGGAGTAAAGCTCGTCTCAATTTGTCCCATTCAAGTGGAACAATGGACATCAAAATCTAGGCCATTAAAACGTCTTTGAATTTCTTTCACGATTAAGCAGTTATTTATTATTTGCTGTAATACGCGTTCACTGTTAGAGTCATAGTCTTTTCATAAGGATCAACAGCTATTTCACGTACATGTCGAAAAAAATGCAGATTACACTTGCGCAAATTCAAAAATTATTGACAATTCAAATCGATTATGCAACATTGCTGAGTACTTTTTAAGCCGCTCAAAGTTAATTATCAGCTCCGGAAGCTATTGTTCCAATTTCTGCTCTTCTCCATCGATCCCTTTTTATGCATGGTCCCCTTTCAACTTCTGCAACGAAGGAGCAGATGTAATAATCATATACTAGCCCCTATTTGTAATGGAGGTTGAAAACAACACAATGTTCGCTTGAGGCTGTTTGTTGTACGTGTGAGTATGTAAAAAAAAGGTAGCACCCCAGACCATGCCAGGTGATCTGGTTTCAGGGTTCTAGCTAGTTCTCTCTTAGTAGACAAGCGTAATTTCTTTTGTTAAAGTGAATTTGTTTTAAAAAGTCGGGTTCTGCACTGTGCGACGGCGCCTTTGATGTTGTGATCACGTGGCAATGTTTTTGTGAACGTTCAAATTTAATAATGTAAAGATAATAATAATAACAGGGTGGTATTCTTTCAAATGTTGTTTTGTGAAGGCGTTGTTTTTCTTGATATTCACTACGTGGGTGTTCGCTATACCAGACAATACCACGACCAATTAATAGTCTGAGCCAGTAGAGTTTTGAGGGGATCAAAAATGTTTGTAGAAAAAGGGAATTATCCTGCTGTTAGAATTGATATATAACTGTCATTTTGACAATGAAAAATGAACTTTGGAATCTCAACATTAAGATATTTTTTTCTTCGATCTTATGCTGTGCTCGATCGAATTTTGTTTGGTACTTGACCAACACTCAACCCCTCAAAATGTAATGACTTATCCCTTACATGTATTCAATGATGCGTAAACTTGCCCGTGAATAGGCCATTACATAGAACTGWCGATGCCAGCACTTTTAAATGCAAAAATCATCAAACAAAGTCTTCAGCTTCAAATGCAATTCYCCTTTGAATGAAAAAAGTGAGCTCAGTGTCCATTTTTTTAACAAAAAAAGACCTTTCCGACCTGTACCCGGCACCCCCCTAGCTAGACCCTGATATATTAATGGTTACTCTTTGGTTAACAAACGTAAATAACATTCTGAAGATTTTACAAGAGGTACAGAGAAAACATCAAACGTATTTCATTGTCTGCAAATTGTTTTATGCCTAGTTTATACAAGATAAACGCTAAAACTGTACATTGAACTGTGAATTATAACGTAGAAATCACATGGAAACTACCAGATTAAATCGCAGCATGGRCTCAACAGACGTTCCCTGTTGTTTGTTGAAATAATTACATGTTRTTTCATATTTATATATTCAAAGCAATTCAAGGTCATTCGGTGTACCAAATCATCATAYMAGAAGCACATGATGGAAAATAACGCGGCACGCACTCACAGCCGTTAATTGTTGATTGTTCAAWTTGTCAAATCTGATTGGCTGGATAGAGTCATCTACACCCTTCCTATTGGCTAACTTCCACTATGGAATATGCAAATCAGTTTGTTATATCATTGAAGCTATAATCCCAAACTGCTGTTTGTGTTAATGCGRCTTGAGTAAGAGGTTAATARCMCAKCGACTTTGAAGAAACTAATACWTCACCGTACYGTACTGTAAGTSGTTTTTGTTTGTTTTCTTTGTTTAAAAGTACGCTTTCATTGCATATWTGTATACATTTGCCATTTCTGTASTTGGCTAAAATTTGGAGATTTATCAAATTGTCCGTATTTAGGTACTGACGTATTACTATTTTATTTTCTAATGCAATTTKTTTATAGCTTCCTTGTCATAGATAAATATATAGGAATTAATTACCGTAAATCGAGGCATAAATGCATTATAGATCCCCAGGAGTTTAAAACAAAAAACTTAGAGTTGGTTATCACTAATTCATGTATTATTGTACTCCAATTCCTTTGACAATATAGCAAAATAATTGCATTAAGTAATAAGATAATCAGTGGCTTTTCATCCAACGATACTTTAAGCTCGAATGATTTTGAATTTGAAAATAAGAACGATGTATTTGAGTGTAATCTACAGTGCGGCAGTCGAGGTATTCCCTTTTGGTGGGTGCGCCTATGGGTGGTTTGGTGGGTGCGTCGGTGTAGTAGGCTAGCCGACATCAAGTTAATGACGGTGCTGAAGACGCATACACTTCCCTGAGCTGTTTTCGACCAACAAATTCATCCTCTAGTCTTACATCTACTGATGTTTTCCCAGATAGAAGTTCTTGCAAAAAAAAATCAGTTGTCCTGTTACGTCATAAAAACCCTGACAGGCATTTTAAAAAACATTCGAACTGGCTGTGAATCATACCTTAGTACTTCAAAAGATAACTGAAAATCAACAGCACACATCACTATATAAAGATATATTTATATAAACCTGTTTTTTTATTTACAAATAGATCCTGAATCAGTTACAATTACGTAAGCATTCAAGTCGTCAACYCCTCCTTTCCCTGCWTGACATCAAATCCCTCCCTGGGCTGTTACTGTAGACTCATGAATATCAAAGACAACCGACTCACGTATATACCTATTCTAAACTTAGCAGCAAAGTTTGACYACAAAAAATCTTAAACTTTTCAGAGAAAAATAAATGGATATATAAAATCTAAATCCCGGATGGGATTTGCGTGAAATGACCCTATAATTATTTCAGTTCCAAAGAAGTTAATTCAAATATAAAGCAATCGTATCAACAAAATGTTTTTTGTTTTAGTTTCTTTTTCGAGTAAACATTTATTTTATGTACTTTTTCGTTCACTGTATTTCATAATGATGATTACATGGTCTTCAACAGTTCTTTTAATATCAGTTTKATGCATCACCTTAACAGAGGATCCAGAACGTTACAAACGGGGGTGGCTAACTYGAGGAAAAAAGCATTTTRAATATATACAATACTGTGAAAATGTTTTTCTTTTCGGGGAACGATGCTTTAGTTGTTTGAGAATGAGTCGCATTCAGAATTTTTTCTTCTTTTATTYATTTATGTCAAAAATTCTAATTCTACACTTTTGAGCCGGAAAAAGGGGTTGAATAGCCATCCTATTACCCCTCCTGGATTTGCCCTTAATTACGTAATACTACAAACWGCGTYCAGATGATTTGCTGTCTTTGTTAAGTATGTAGTCGTCTGAAAATAATCAAAGGAAATGGATTTTCATAACTTATGTTAGAATGTAATTACGTTTTGTGTGATATTTCAAAATCTCGTGAAGAAAAAGTACAGAAATGAGGTATTAATTGTTTATAGTTAACACGCCGCATGCTTCAGTCAGTCAAACGTATAGTTTTTCAGACAGCTTCTATTATCAGTAGATTATTCAAGATTATTTTCATAACAAATTCTAAATAGTTGTTGTTTGGCAAAGGAAATGTTTGTATGTGATCAACAGTCACCTGATTATCTATCAGCGTTCGTTATTTGTAGCCARAAAGAGCTTGACCCACAACAATAGCCGAGAATAGTCCCTAATTTCGTGGTCTTAAATTTCCTAATATGATCAAAAGTTAATAGATATATTTCGCTTTGAATACTTCACTTTCACGGACGTCGCGTCCTCTTCGCAAGTGCTATAGCTACAATTTGCAAATTTTATAAATTAAATTCGMAAATGGTAATGATCTGGAATAAAACAACTCATTCTACATCGTATTTTCTAGTAACCTTTTTSTTCGTGAAAGCGTGTTTTATAGAAAGAAAGCATYTATAGCGCTAGACGTGTTTGCATTATGTCCTTTGTATCCGCCTGCTTTGCAACGACGCGCAGATTTAATACAAACATGCGGCGGGGAAAACCCCACAGTTGCACTTTGATCCAAAGGGGCTCAAAATACGAAATACAAATTCAAGGTTTTTAAACATGCACTTCACACTAACAGACTAACTGAAAATGGATTTCAACATTTTTGATATAGTTTCGACAGTTTAGTTCACATTTATTAGCAATATTTGTACTCAAAACAGGTCCAATTATCTCTTGTATCAACAACAGAAATCGAGAGACTCGAGTAACAATAGAAAKGATTTCTTGCTGCATGCATTTGTAAATCCCTTTGAATCGAGTTYCGTGCTTTGCAAACATTTTTATACATTGCATTTTATTCCAGACAGCTTGGAGTACAGTGCAGAAATCAATTATGTATAGAAGAATACATGTACTTATATTTCACTGCAATTTCATTGCCGAATTATTCAAAGACGTCTTATTTGTACTATGATTTTGTAGTATCATTTCTTGTTGGTGGAAACAACAAAACTACAATCGTTKCGAAAAAATCTTAGAATTATTTGTCTCCGGCCTAACATTTTTCTCCTTTATTTTTTCACACTTCTCCCCCTTAGCCCCCTTTCATCAATGTTGGGTCTTGTTTTGGATGGTTGTGTACTATGGTAACATKCTGAATGACAACATTGCATTTAGGGGGTCAGGGGGGATGAAAGTGTCTGCGGGCGTTGCTTAAAATGAGGAACTTTGCTGGAATGGTCCAAGGATTTTGTCGACACGATTGTAGGCTCCAATAGGCCTTTTGAATGAAACGGTCACATGGTACAAAAACGACCGGCTAGCCCACTGACCCACGCCGGACCAATATTCAGAGTCTTAAAATAATTGAGATGTTACTCACTTTGCTTCTCCACCTGCAAGTGGTTAAATCATCACGTTTTCTCTGATAAGGATGTAAATCGGTGGTCCCGTCTCTTCCACAGTTCCCACACAGGCCTTTTCTGAAATAGCATAGCGCATTGAATTGTCGGTACAAACATCTTTTGTTTCTGCTGTCAAATATGGTATTGTTTGTACTTAAGCTAGACCACAATGCATCGTGATTTCCTAGTTCAAAAAAGATCTATTGGGGTGACGTAAAAGAACCTGAACGAGGACGTAATAACAAACTCTTGCGATGACCACTCCCAGTGACCAGCTCACTGTATAATTATTATCGTTTGCCATTTATCATTGTCCGTTTGCAGTTGTGTTATTTTTTTTTTTAGTGGAGTATTTATTTTTAAGTTATCTTATTGTCTTAAATTACAGATGGCAACACCTGAATGGGACTACGATAAAAAAGGCCCAAGTGACTGGCACAACCATTACCCTGCAGCATCAGGCAAACGACAGTCCCCCATAGACATCAATACTGCAGACGCAAAATATGACAGCTCTTTGAAACCCTTGTCCATRAAGTACTCCCCAGATGACGACTTCCAAGTTGTTAATAACGGTCGCTCTGTCACCATTTCAAAGAAGAAAATGACTGGTCATCAACTAAGTGGTGGACCTCTGGAGCACAGGTATCGCTTTGAACAGTTCCATTTTCACTGGGGAAAAACATCAGAGGCTGGCTCCGAACATCTGAYCGATAGTAAAGCCTTCCCTGCAGAGCTTCACCTTGTGCACTGGAACACAGAACTTTTCAAGAGCTTTGGTGATGCAGCTACGAAAAATAAAGGCTTGGCTGTGCTTGGCTTTTTTGTCCAAATTGGAGAAGACATAAACCCAGGTTTGAAGACCATCACAGATTTCCTACCTCAAGTTGAGAACATTGGAGAGAAGAAAGATTTTAAAGGCTCTTTCAACTTGGAGTCCTTACTTGCAGGCAACACAAAGGATTACTGGACCTACGACGGGTCACTCACTACTCCTCCATGCGCTGAGAGTGTCACATGGTTTGTATTCAAGACGCCAATCCAAGCCACGGAGGAGCAGATGAAACAATTCCGCAACCTCAAGGAAAGTGATACAGAAAGGCTCTGTGATAATTATAGGCCTGTTCTACCTTTGAATGGGCGTGTTGTCAAGTCTTCTTTTAAGTAAAGAATATCTTGTGTGCGCAAGAAATGGTAGTAATTGCTTAGGTTTCTTCCAAATAAATGCAATGGGGTCTTAGAATTCTGCGTCTTTATGTAAAGTAGATTTATAACTGTTTCTAGTCAGTGGTCTGGCCATTTTATTTTGCAATAGTCCAGAGCTTAAAGAATTATAACCAACCGCCGTACCTTGCGCGCTCGTATTATTGTTTACATACGTTTAAATGAGTCAAGGATACAATAAATTATAGATTGATAGTACCTGTGAGKTACTTARTTAAAKGTATTTCTGTCCAAACTGAAAGGACGGAAGACGATTCGCGCTCACTTTAAGAAATCCTACGAATCCGCCATTTTCGTGTCCTCCTAAAATGACGCTTCGGCTCGCAAGGTACGGCGGTTGGTTATGATTCTTTAAAAAGATATAATTGGATTGAGTTTAAAACGATAATTATAATGGTTATGTTTGAAGTCTATGCTTCACTTTTCAAAGGGATATAAATGGATGAATTAACGATAGATTGAACACTTGGAAGAAATTGTACTAATTTGTTGGCACTATTAAAAGTTTTATACTTAAATTATCTGATGAAGGATATCCAGTTTTAACCGCTGCGAAGAGCTTGATTCCAYTTGTTTGCCTTCAAGCCATTGGCTTTTGGCCTTAGTTTATTTTATGTTAGAGTGATCGCACTTAAAGCGTGCAACTGTACAAAATCTAAGTAGTATTAATATGTACTAAAAGTGGACCTGAAGCAAGACGGTATTGAATGCTTCATTTGGATCAATTCAATTTAATTTGCGTAACGCATGTACGATTTACTAAATACACTTAATAGAACTACAGTTGCAAGGATTAAGTGCGATCACTCTAAGCAATTGGTCCACTGCAACGGCACTGCAAAGCGCCACTGCTAAACGGCACTGAAAGCKCTTGATTTCTCTTGCACCATTTTTTAAACTCGGTTGTATGTTACACAAACGGTTGTTTTGATACCTCTGAACTAGTTGCTTAAATAAAYGCTCTCTCACTCTTTRCAATGAATTCAAAGTACACACAAAATCGCGTGTATAAATACGATTTTTTANTGGAAAACATTATTTTTGTTTATTTATCTGTTTTTGGCTTCGTTCTTTCTTCTGTTTGCTTGTTTGTCTGTTGTTGAATAGCCTACTTAGATATGATCTTTGAAACGCGGGGACTTGGTAACCAGTCATGGATGAAAAGATAGATTAGTTACAATCCCGCTGTGCCGAGTACTGTTATGCCAAGCACTGACTGAAGTCTAGTATTATAACTATGGCTGCTGCATCTGACAAGACTAAATATCCTCAGAAACTGATCGATCACTTGAAGAAACTCAGTCATGAGAAAGAGGACTTGTGTGAAATGTTTAAAGAATGGGATTTCTACGAGACGGTAGATAGTGGCAACGCAGACAATAGCTGTCCTTGTGGCAAAACAGGGATTCGTTATCGTTGCTATATCAAAAACAAGATCACTGAGAAAACTACTTTTGTTGGCACAAGGTGTGTCGAATTCTTCGATGATGACATGAAAGAAGTCCTCAAGCTTGTTCTTAGCTTAATATCAACTGGAATCAACGKGAAGTACAAGGGAGAAGGAAACAGAGGAAAGCAGAGGTTCGAAGTCAGAGCGAATACACTYCTAGTTCTTAAAAAAGAAAAACTGAATAACCTCTTTAAGTTCGTCCCTATTTATAAAAAAAGGAATGGAAAATGGGAAATTCAAACTTTTAGCTACGCCGGAAATGAAAACTTAACCGTTGATACAACATACACGATGAAAATCAGKTCATCGAGATGGGATCAGGAATACGGAACCGGAATATCGTTCCGAATCACCAAAATCGAACCAAAAAACTGAACAAAGGAACATCAATTGTCTTTCAGGAAGAATGGCAACGAGCCGAAATAGCGACGTAAGATTCATTTAGCTTTGAAACCACATTGAACACCTTATTAGATCTAAAGTTTATTACGATTGACAAATACTTTCACTTTCGAGTTGTGAACGGCTGCTGTAGATTCGATGCTCAAATGAAGTCATATTGCGCTGCGCATTAGTTTTAAAAAACCTGACAAATTGATTATTAAAGTAAACTTTATATAATTTTACTTATATTCGACCGAAATTCGAGTACAACATTTTGTGTGACTGGTAGGCAAAACCGGTCGAGACGCGTTGCCTTAATTAAGTCCGGAATGGAATTAATTTTAATACTACTTGACAAATGCTAACCCTTAGAAGGGTTAATTTTCAATTCAATGAGTATTCTTTAGTTAGCAATCATTTTTTGTTATTTCACTACCGGTAGAATTCCACGAAATACCGTCAAAACCCGTTGAAAATCATGCATATCTTATATGTCTCAGGTCAAGTTGTCTGAGACGTATAATATTATTTATAACTGCAGATAAAAGTCATGCAAGTAGCTGTATCAACAACCTTAAACCCGCATTACTTAACATTTGTAATTTCTTAGACGAGTAAATGTTTGTTTCGTTGTGTGAAGCCAGTGTGCAAAGAAATCCTTTCTTCGTAAAAACAAGTACATTGTCTAATGTCCATCCATATAGTTTTAGAAAAATGACTCGTTTCTCCATTAGAACACGACTAACATTCTACACCATTTTACACGGACACAAAGTTGATCTTTTGATCACTTGTCATATAATTTTTAATGAAATGTACCTATATTTTCCCAATTTCGTATGTAAACGGTGTAATGTTATTTTTCTTTGAGAAAAAAAAAATGAGATAAATAT